GGTTTTTTTTTTGGGGGGGGGGGGATGGGGGGTTGGGCTTCACAGAGAACGAGACGGAAGACAGAAAGGGGAGCGAAGGCGAGAGAGAGAGATGTGGAGGACAGGTATAGAAATGTTGTAGCCATTGCATGAGTGTAGGAGAGAGACGATTTGAGTGGATATAAATCGTGCTGATCGTTAAACAGCGAGGAACTCCGCTATTAGTATATACGACTAACGTACCCAAGGAGGCAAGTCTGCACACTTGCACCTCGTCACAGCTGCAGTCCACGGCGGAAGCTCATACACCCCCGAAGCCCAGGAGTTGGGCACCGAGATCCGACGCTTAAAGTCGAAAATCTCGCGGTCCGACAATGGAACGGCTCGGATTGGAACGGCTCGGATGCGTTCATGTGCTCTTGTTCCGCACTCCATATGCTCTGAGCTTTGACCGTGCACTGCAGCTGTGGCAGGGGCGTGAAATCTGCATGTCTGACCAAGGGCCTGAAAGTAGAAATCGTGTGATTCACCGTACAGAGTTCTGACCTGCAAGAAACCCGCACGACACCCAAGGTAATTCTAAATGAGAGCGCGGCTACATTCGAAGATGTACGCAATGCTTGCCATGCATGGTTGCATGTTCCGTGATAAGTGAGCAGCGAGAGAGAGAGAGAGAGAGAGAGAGAGAGAGCGATGAGAACAGATCAACATTTTGTCGCGCGCCCCCCCCCCCCCCCCCCCCCCCCCCCCCCCCCNCCCCCCCCCCCCCCCCCCAGTCTCACCATCCCCTTGTCCGTCTTCGTTGTTTGCCCTTTCTCCCTTCCTCTACCCCCTCCTTCACCCTCCCCTTTCTACAGGAGCTTGGCCTCGACGCCTGGAAGGTCAACCCCAAGGGCGGGGCGATCGCGCTGGGGCACCCGCTGGGCTGCACGGGGTGCCGGCAGGTGGCCACCCTGCTGTTCGAGCTCCGCCGGACCGGGAAAAGGTTCGGGGTTGTGTCGATGTGCATCGGGACGGGGATGGGCGCGGCGGCGGTGCTCGAACTGTGTTGCTGATTTCTCCGGGAGGAGGGGGGCTGACTTCTTCTCCTTGGGGGTGGGGGGGGGAGGGGCAGGGTTCTCTCTCTCTCCCTCTCTCTTGAGTCTCTTTTGCTTCGATCTCTTTGGCGTGACTCCGAGCGGTTTTCAAGAAAATGGGAGGAGATGGGTTGTTGGCTTTTGCTGATTTCTCCGGGGGAGGGAGTGCAGGCTTCTCTCTCTCGTGGTCTGTTTCTGACTCTCTCTCTTTCTCTCTGTCTCTCTCACTGTCTCCCTCGTTTGGTCTCTCTTGCTTCGTGGCTTGGCTCCGAGCCGTCTTCGCGCGGTAGGAGGACATGGGTCATTTATTGGGTTTTCGAAATTCGCGCGTGTTTTCTCTCGTGCCGCCTGTTCTTGGTTGAACGCATGTCCGTACCGAGGAAAAGAGGTGGCTGTGTTGGTACACTGGGCGGGATATAAATAGAGATTGAGCACGTAGGAATAATCGACGGGCGGAAGCAAACAAATGTGCAGGCGTCCGAAAGTGAAAGCTTTGGCTGTGCGCAAGGGATTGGTTTGTGGGTACAGAGCTCGCACCTCCAGCTTTGCTTTCGGGATGTAAAACCACACAGAGAGTGCTCGTCGATCTCCAGCCGTGCTTTCGAGAGGGGGTATGCCGCCGCAAGTTTCTGTTGATATCGCCGATCTCCGGTAGTGCTTTCGAGAGGGGTGCACCGCCGTTGATTTTTATTGATGGAGTTTTTGAGTTATTTTGCTGCTTTTGGTTGGGCACGGCAAGGGGGAGATTGTCATGTTTGGGTTCATATATTGCCGTTGTAGTTCAGAGGTGCTACTTACCAGCAAGGAAACGGGATGGCCGTGCCGATGTGGCCTCTCAGGCCAGCCCACTGCTTATTATCTCTGTGCCTGCGCTTTTTCATCTAGAGTAGCGGAAGGTGTTTTGTCTGCTTTCGCGTCATGTTGGTCGACACGACGACTAGATCAAGGCTTCGTTTGCCTCGAGCCCCCCCCCCCTCATTTTGGATGACGAGAAAACCGAGCACGCTACGGTGTCTTTCAAGCTCAGTCTCAGACTGACGGCCATCCTCCTGAGTGGCTCGCTCCCTCGCTCGTAGAGGCTTGGCTTCCGAAAAGGATGGACTATTTGGCCGGAACGTGTTGTCGGAGGTGGAGGGAAGGATGAGTGGCAAGGGCAGCCGCGCCGTTGTAGAAGTGTTAACCTTGCGTGTGTTTCTCAGGGTTTGCCAAATGTGTTGCGGCTGGTGTTGCGAAAGTTCCGTCCTGTTAAAATCCCCGTGGATACAGTGACATTCATCCATAGCCGTGGGCTGCAGAGCACGTTGACAACACGGGTTCGCAACGGAACGGAAGGGCATATCCGTCCGGGCTATCAAGGGGCTGAGGAAACAAGCTGCTACATACCCCGTGTGTACCGTTCTCTTCGTTGAATGAAAGTACAAAGTCCATGATGATCGATGCCCATACGAGTAGACACCCCACCGCGCAAGTCTGGTCGCTACCTCCCACACAAATGACTGATACAGCGCTCTATGCATACAATAGAGCCACAGAGCAACACAAAAAAAAATCACGATGCAGACGAACCCGTCCAGTCGCGCGTAACACCTCGTCGTCAGCTGCCAGAACCCCCATCAACCCGCGCCGCTGCATGCGCATGCAACGCCAAAACTCGGGTTGGGACGGCAACACTCCAAAATTTACCGACGTGGTGTGGAGTACGCGTCCTCTCCGTGGCGTCTAGGATTTAGAAACTTGCAGCGCTTCTCCAGATACACCAAATACGAAAAAAAAAGCGAAGCATATTTGTACCAACAAACGTAGCCAATCTACCACGTGCTAATTTTGTAACGAACCTGCAAATCGCTCTACTTCCACGCACCACACACAACGCTAGAATGCCGTTGCGGCTAAAACTACTTGATGATTTTTGACAAAATGGTACAGCGGAGACATATCTCACACACGATTCGACTACACGTAAAACAAAGCAATCGAACACACATCTCCGCGTATCACTTGAGCAAGGACTTCTCACAAAGAGACCGGTCTACTTGTGCGCAGGTGCCCACACCGAAGACAATGCCTTCTAGGCCCGACTTTATGGCAACCTGAATCACTCGAATGAGCTAGAAGAGAGAGTCACGTTCGCCCTTGAAGCTACGTTTACAGCGGTGGCCACAAAAAACTCGCACAACACCAAGCACTTCAAGCATACAGGACAGCAGTTCAAAATCATAATAATACATCACGGTGGTTAGGAAACATTCGGCTCTTATCGCTACGTCGCCCCGGAGATTTCCGGTGATGTAGCTGACTCCTCTTGTGGTTGGTCCCAAGAAAGGCCGTCGGTTCCCTGCAAAACAAATCAGGAACGCTGTTTTCACATTTAATAACGATAGTTAAGAGGAACTTGAAAAAAGGTGTTTTTAACTATAAAAAAAATAAAATAATGTTTAAAAATTGATAATTAATTACTATGGAAGTATTTACTTCAGTTTTAGTAGAATAATCTTCCGTTACTATTTTATTAGTTTATTAACAACAAGGTTTCATCAAAGCACGGCAGCAGCAGCAGCAGCAGCAGCAGCAGGTCAGGGTTTTCAATCCATGCTGGTAGCAATAGAGACCAACGTAACCAAGGGGATTGGGGTGTTCTTGCGATAGCAGTATTGACTTAAAGGAAGAACACAGCCAAGAGCAACTACCACCCAGTCCGCCTACCTAGAGCACGCAAGATTGCAGTAAGAGGCGGCAGCAGAACTACAAAGGGACAGCACGCAGCAACAGAGATGCACGTATATGCACATCATGAGGCAGTGACCCAAAAATGAATATGACTATGAAGACTCGGACTAAGTTTTTAGAAGCCGATCTCATCCCATGTTTTGACTAGCCAGGAAATTCAACCCATTAGACGAAATAGTCAGCGCTGACAAAATAGTCTAATGGTTTGATTTCAGCTTCCATCATAGTCAGCAGCTGACTTGTCTCCCTTCGGCAGTCAGCGCCCCCCCCCTCTCCCCCCCCCCCTTACCTGCTGCGCCACGACGTGCGCGACGGCGTCCTCCCCTACGAAGTCGAACATGACCACGCCCAGGCCACCCCCGGAGAACTCGAACACAACCTCGTTCGTGCCCTGGTAGACGCTCTTCAGCCCGGCGGCGACCGTCAGCGGGTACACGTACGTCCCCGTACCGGACAGGTAATTCAGGCGGAACGGACCGCCATCGGCCGGAACACCGCCTCCTTCCAGGAAGAAGTCTCGGACCAACCCCTTCTTGGTCTCCACGGCCTCGAAAAATTCGAGGTTGAAGTCGTTCTGCTCCTCCTGGCCCATGTCCGTGGGCAGGACGACTTTCCCCCTTGCCTCCTCGAGGGTAGGGATGACCGCCCCGTCGAGCCACAGGTCCGGATACTCGGACATGGAGGCCTGGAGGGTGTCCTCGGCGGTCACGCCGCCGCTGCTGTCCTCCCCCGCCCGGTCGTTCATCTGGTAGAACATGACCACCGCCTCGGTGGGGTTGTCCGACAGGAAGGAGGCCAGCACGTCGCGAACGTCTACGTCGAAGCCGTAGGGGAGCTCCGCGATGCCGTGCTCCAGGACCAGGGAGAGGTCGCTCTTGCGGCGGATCCGGACGTCGATCGCTCGCACCCCCGTGTCGAGCATCGTTCGGAGCGACCACGCCTGCGGCCGCGCGCGTACAGGGTGTAAACGCAGTCGCTACAAGACCACTGACCTCGCGTCACTACAATGTGCCGGGTACTGATGGAGTGGTTGCAAGCGAGTCGAATTTGCGGAGGGGTCGGAGAAAAGGGCGTCGCACCTCTTTCCACAGAGTGGTTCGGCCAGTCGAAGGCCGCCGCCAAATTCTAACTGCGCGCAGGGGACTTGACACGGGGGTGATAGTGCTGGCAAACAGCGAGTGGTTGCGGTATTGAACAAGCATGCCTTTTCGGTCAACGCAGCCATTCGAGAGCTGCACGCATGTATGCAGCATGACATGCATGATACTACGACAGGGTCAATTCTCGCATGCCCAATACATCTCTCTCAGGTCAGCGTGTACGCGGTTCTTGCGAGTATTTCCCAAACCGGTCCTTTCCGAGGTCTGCGCGAACAACACTGGTAGCGAGCTCCCACAAATGGTTCTACTGTCGTCGTCGCTCTTTCCGCCCACCCGCACCTGCGTGTGCACGTAGTTCGCCAGGCCCTCCTGCAGGCAGGCCGAGATCCCTTTCGACATCGTGTTGTGCGTGCCCGGCAGGCTGATCTGGTTAAGCCTAAGGGCACCATCCAAGCCGGACATCCAGCACGGCTGCATCGATGCAACGGGAGGAGACTCACAGACGCTAAGGCCCGGCAGCTGGTGCTCGCAGACGTACGAGTCCGGAGCCGCGCAGTCCGCGTCGGAGCTGTCGCTGCCGCACGTGTCGAGGGTGGCGCAGCCGCCTGTCACGCCGCACCCCACCTCTTGTGCGGCGCGGTGCGCATCACCCGACTGAGCTCCGGCATTGTTGTAATGAGGCGAGTTTTTATCCCGACCGCCGGTAGTTGCTCCCGACGCCGCGGGGTTGACGGCGAAGACCGCTAGGACCAGGAAGACAAGCGCGGCGGCGGCGGCGGCGGCGGCGGCGGTGGCTCCCCCCATCATGGGTGGGTGCTTGTTGTCTCCTGGTGGCGGAGGGATGGAGCATTGTTTTCAGCAATCAGTAATCAGCCTATCTCTACGGAAGCATGGCTGACGATCACGTGAAGAAGCCAACCTGGACAATTAAACTCAGCCAATCGTGTTGAGTCTGCGGTTTACGGGCGGTGCGACGGCAATGCTGAGGTACGTTGTTCTAGGTACGCACGGGTGTGGCCCGGGGTTCCTTTGCTTTGGATCGTGTGAAGTGGATCCCGAACGCCACGTTCGTACACATATGCATGCATGCGTGGTTTTCGTGTGGCAGCATCAAAAGACAGCCGAACAAGCTAAGCGCCTCTTTAGCTGCTCAGGTTCGCAGAGCCAATCAACGACCAACGATAGGGCGCCCTGCCATCGGAAGTGCAACAAATACGCTTCACCCGCTAGCTAGGTCAAGGTTTCGTCCCGCGTTGTCCGTTTTCAGTTTTCAAAGTTCAAATGTTCTGCAGGTGTCGAGTTGTGCCGCGCACGCTGCTGCCGAGCACAGGGCATGCTGGAAAGCGGGGTACGACAGCAGTTTCTGTGGAGGATTGATTGGATGAGTTCGTATACCATCCTCGCGCCATGAAAACCTCATCCACCAACTTCCTGCAGTTTGTGCCTCAACACTCAGGGAGTGAGATGCCCGAGGAGATGTCATCTACAGCAGCAGCACACCTGACCGACGCATAATTTAGCACCATGTCATTGCTGTCGCACTACGCACACAGCAGCATATCAGCCAGCTGTGTTTCAAAGGAAGGTTCAGCAATTGGTTTAGCGCTACAGACAACCCCATACCTCGCAAACCCTCCGTCGTGCTCACAGTGCTTCCTACAGACACACAACGCTACAGTTTGTGTCGTGGATGAGCTACCACACGCATGGCCGTGTGGTGCTTTCTCTGATCTGCTGCTGATAGCCTGCGGCAACTTGCTCGAGGGAGTCGGCAAATGTGTGTAGTTCGTTCCTTCCCCCCCCCATCCCGAAGAAAACTCTTGTCTCGGCCGCGAAGCTCCCTGGAGGGAAAACTCAAGGTCACTGTTGATTGTGAACATTTCGTTGGGTTCCTCTCTCACTTCTATGGAAGTAGACATGTCGTTCGCACCATCCTAGCTCTGGTGGAATGAAGCTCCGTGAGTACATGTATGCACGGTATTTTTTCTTGCTGAATAAAATAGGCCTATCTATGTATCTGGTCTTCTATGGGTAGAGAGAAACAAGTGCTTGCTACATGTGGATTTTTTTTCTCTTCGGGCATCGCGAGGAAGGAGGTGAAAGCTAAGGAAATGAGCGGCTCAAAGAGAGAGGGGACCGTTCAGGCATGCACCACAGAAATTCATTCGAGTCACCAGGACGTGTCATTCGTCGTGATACGACGCGTTTTCGCACAAAAGCCGGTGTATCTCGTGTCTGAAAGGCGAGTAAAAACATGAATAACCACCCAAAAAACAAAAATAAAATAACAACACGAGTGAGTGGGTCAATGGAAGTGAATAAGGCCACGGTCCCTCCACAACTCCTGACTGCTACACCGCCGCGGTAGTGCATCAACCCCGGAATAAGCCATCGTATTGCCAAGCCTTGGAGCCTTCACCTTTTTCACTTCTCTTTCCCGACAATATCTGTGTATGTACGTCTCTCATCGGCGGTCTTCTTTCGACACCATCCATCAAAACGTAACTATTACTGTACATTTTGATGGATGGTGTCGAAAGAAGACTGCCGAAGAGCAGTCGCAGCCGTCGCGGAACGAGCGGTACGGCGGAGCAGGTTCAAAAGCCATCCCAAGCGTGACCACCCCACACAAATCTCATCGCGCCGTACTACAAGCTTCGGCTTCTGAAGCGCATCGATACGACCTCTCGTTCATCAGCATTCCACCTCCACCCCCGCCGCCCTCTAGTAAAACCAGCTTGGCCACGGTTCGGCAGTGCCAGCAGCTGGGGAAGAACGCTGAGCGCTGCTTGCAGCGCCAGCAGCGCCAAAATCTGTGGAAATAAAGGCTGAAGGCCGCGCTTGCTTGCTCAGTTGCTGCTGTCGTCGGCAGCCGCCAGAGATCCAACCGGTTCCGGCACGTAGCTGTCGAAGGGGAGCACGTGCTGTGCCGCCGGTGGTGCGTCTGGAAGGCCCCAAGCGACGCTCGCCTTCCCTTCCTTGGCAGCCTCGCCCCGAACTTTGTCCGCGGCGAGCCTCGTCAAGCTTAGTTGAAGTCGGAAACCTTGGCTGTAAACGGTACAGTAGTTTGACGCGGAGAAAATAAAAACGCGTGGGAGAGCGATACAGGGGTGTGGGGTTGGAGCGGTGGCGGAAGCGGGGGAGGTGGGAGGTGGGAGGTGGGGGGCGAACGGGGGTCGGGTGCTTCGTTTTCTTCCGGCCGTACGCGGTCAATTTCATGTGTTCGCAAGCTCGTCCACTACATTACCCCGCTACAGGTAGGTCCACCTCTGGTGCCTCACGGCTCCCTGTCAAGCAGTATTCAGGGAATCACCCATCGTTGGCACGGAGAGCATTGGAAAAACATCCCCCGGAGGATTCGAAAGGGGGGCACGCAGACAGGCCAATCTGTGCCGACCCATAAACACCATCGTGTCAACAAGGCAAGCATCGAGAGGTACAGCAGAACTTCATTGCTTCCCGTAAACCTTCTCAGCACCGCGCGAGCCGGGCGGGCGGTCTCTCTGACGTCCTCTCGGCATAATCGTCCGATCGCCCTCAGGCAATAGCGGTGCTGCGGCCCGAACATGTGCGCCGCCACGCAGCACTTGTCCGCCAAAAGCCACGCCGCCGCTGCCAAAACGCCCATGGCATACGCGTGCGTGCGTTGGGAAGAAAGAGCATCGCATGAAAGAGGCCACGACCGAAAAAAAAGAAAAAGGGTCGGTCGGTGCTTCTTAGGGCCGTCGTCGTACGGTAGAAATCACCGTACGGGGCACCGACTGGGCAGAAAGACAAGTCGACAGTCGACAAAGCAAACTGCAGACGACGACGATGGCAACGAACGAACTGGAATCATTTTAAGCAAGACAAAGGCGAGTCGGGCATGAAGGCAAGCATGCCGATGTAACGAGGGACTGACAGGCAGTCACAAGGACAGAGAATGATGGCAAAGCGAGGTTTGGCAACCGAAATCCAACAGCCTCAACGATGGGAAGCATCTAGGGCAACCTCTCCTGGCAAAAACAACAGACGTGTGCTTAGGAGGTCAAGAGAAGATGCAGCAAAGGTAGGCGAGGAGGGAGAGGTGGCAGGACGGGGGCTGCCCCAAGATGGGCGTTTGCGACTTGCGAAACCTACGATTCCATTCATTGCGGGGGTGCCGTGCCTCGTCAAACCCAAGGCAAAGGCAAACCCGTGGGTGGGTCTTCTTCCCCGTCCGCTTGGTCTCGAAACGGGTGTTTCTACCAGTCATTATCGCCCCATATAGATCTTGGTTGCTCCCCTAGAACCCATGAGGATAATTAACATTGGTGCTTCCCGAAGCTGTTCCCAGCCAACAAAGTTTACCGTCGTACACAGACAAGCACCCTCTATACCGCAGAGAAAAACCCGCCGGCCCTCTGCCCCCCGCACCCCCCGTCCAGCGCGTAGAATACCTTCTCCCGGAAGCTTGACGGAAACGGTCTCCGACAGGCGGGTCGCCGCCGCATCCGTCCCCGTCGGTGGACCCAGCGGCGCCTCTGCTTCACGCAAGCCCGGGGCGGTCATGTAGTCCTCGTCGGCTTCTTCCTCGCTCTCTTGGTCACCGTCGTCGTGCTCGACCTTCAGGTTCGCCGGCCTTGACCGGGCCACGCCGGGCGATTCCGGCTCGTAGTCATCATCCTGCAGCGGTGGCGGAAGACGACGATGTGAGGATTAGGACGGTGCAATCAAGAGGGCGACG